GGGATGTAGGACTTTCTTAGTCCACCACAAATCTATGTATTCATCTCAATGTTCTTTCAAATGCATTTGAAAAATTAAAGTTATCACTTGATTTTGATGTTCATTAGAAAGATCTATGTCTTTAACATTTGTGTTGATTTGATTGAGTACTTGCTAAGTTAAAGTCCCATTCCATATGATCATTTTCAAGTTCAACTTTGTTGTCAAATTTGAGTCCCCTGCTGTTCAAGTTCCACTTTTTGTTTAAGTCCTCAATATTTTCAAATAAAAATTATGCAGCACTCTGGTGTCGTCCTCGCGTAGGGGGCTGCATCAGAGTGTGTAAGGTCTTCCCGCCTACCAAGAAAGGTAGTCATGGTAGGTGTCGGGTGAAACCGCGGCCGCAGTTCCAATCCTTGCTCGCTAACAAAAACGGCACGGGGTCTTTGAGCACATATTTAAATTATAGCATTTTCCCCGCCTAAAAGCAATGACGGTTACTTAATTAAACAAATTTTCTACAAATAATAAATTTCCCCGCCCGCTAAAAAAAGCGGTCACGGGTACTTAAGTTTCATGCATATGAATTTCCCCGCTCGCTCAGACCGTCACGGGTACTTAAGTTTCCTCACCCGCTAAAAAAAGCGGTCATGAGTACTTATTTCATGCATAGAAATATAAAACACTAGTGTCGGGCTTTTTACCTTAAGTGTGCAGTAATCAAGGCGGCGACGGTGAAAAACCTTGGTTGGAGGCTTGAAGGGAGGAGGTCGGCGGTTGGAGAGCTTAGAATCGCAAGAGAGCTTGAGGGGGGCGGCCTCGCGTGAGTTTGATCGTGAGTGGGAGTGGGGGCGGTTGGGAGAGGATATGAGGGTTTAGGGGTTTAAGTGAGGGTATTTTGGGTATTTTTGGGTTTTTTATTTAAAGAAAAATTCTCTTTTATTTAAAATCTCTCTTTCTCTCCCTCTTTCTAATTTTTTTTTTAATTATATTGCATAAAATAAAAAATAAAATTTTAATCTTGCATCGAGTTGGTCACCGCATCGCGCACGAGGGTGTCCATTATTGTCAAGAAAATAGAGTAGATGTAACAAGGTACGTAATGATGGTGCCCTTTATTGTCAAGAATATGAAGGAGATCTAACAAGTCATTACTGAAGTGCTGGTGACCAGACATTCGAATATATACTTAAGAAAATAGAAAAAAAAATTAACTAATTTCTGTGGCAACTTACTCCGCAGAATGCTGGAGGAGCCTAATTACAAATTGCTTGATGCTATGAGACAACTCAGGACTGGCATCAGCTATCATGCTTACTACCTTGTAACTCACCTGCAATCCACAAATGGAGGAGACATGAAAAATATAGCAATTAAAGAAACAAAAAAGTAGTACGAAGAATTGCATACGCTGATTAAGTGAGAAATGACAGTATGCTCAGGTTCTTGTCTATAAGCTGTCATTAAAGATAGCAATGATGACAAATTCTGCTTGGAAGCCATACATAGTGCATATGAATCATCCAAGATCCCTACGGTAGAGGAATTAATAGAAATGATTAAGAGGACTAAAAGTACTAATATTCAAAGTGAAGAAGCCGAAAGAAATTACCAAATCTGTCCGTTGCAGATAGTTTATTGTTCTCTATTGCATATCTGATTCCAGTTTCAAGTTCGCCATTATATTTCACCCTGTAAAAACCTGTTTGATCAACATTTAATTTGATCCAAAAGAATCCAGCTTTTTCTCCAGTATTAGTGACTGAAGAATCAAAAAGTTGAGAAACATCAATAAGCTCTGATTTTGTTTCTAAAAGAAACTTTTTCGTAGTTGCGTATGAACCACAGCACAATGTGATAGGAACAATCCACTCCCCAGCCCCAGTGGAACCACTTGCCAGAAAATGAGACTGCACTAGAGAAACAAATGCTTGATCAACAAGGAACTAGATTTTCAAAATTAGAAAGATATAAAAATTTCAAAGCACGAGCAATTCTAATTGCATTGGTAAATAAAAGGGATGTGACTAAAAACAAGTTATCTATGATTGTTTTGTAGTTAAGCAAGCTAGTAGTTGGTTCGTTGTTAAACGTACTGAAATACTTGTAAACGACACACGATTCAATCCCCTCAACCACATATTCTTATTTAGATGGTAGGCCTAGAGCAATATTTAGGTTGTGCCTCCATTATAACCTGAAGATTATAAATCCAAAAGACCTAAATAGACCCATAAAACTGGCTAAGACAGAGCGTGTGAACCATTGATCAGAACTTGGATTTGTCTGAACTCTGAAGCCTCGTACATTATATACCCTAAAAAACTGGTTCGTGGCACCAACAAGGGAATTCTTGAAAATATGAAACCATAAGTAAACTTGTCCTTTTTCCACACTTTTCAAATCAAGTAACACCTACATCAGCTCGTGAGATGGAAGCAACATCCCATAACATGTAACCATGTATCTAATTTCTAAATCTACCTCATTTAGGACTAAATATAGTTAGATTCAAGTTTTACTCAAATTTAAATTAAAAATTTCCACTTCTACTTGGCTCAAACTCAGCTAAAAACAATTTTTTTTTCCTTACATCGCAATTTTATAACTTGATAATAAATTAAGTACAACAAGGGCAATTAACAAGAATTGTCAGAGAAAAAATGCATAAAATGAAATAAAAATATCATGAAGCACAAGTAACCATCGGAGTTTAAAAACCACTCAGCTGACAGGTTTTTTTTCTTGTTCTGACCCCATCTAGTAAATAAGATATGAAACCTCAAATCCACCAGAATACCATCAATCAGCAAGCTCCCAGCAGAATCAAGAGCATGCTGTAAATCATGATCATCAGAGACTTCAACATAAGTAAGATGAGGAACTTCTAGATTAGGAGGGTCAACATACAATGTACTATGTATCAGAGGTGTAGATAATATAACTGTAAGACTAGTAGGGCTGGTAACACAATTTTAGCTTCTAGAGGATCAATTGGAATCTTATTCTTAGCACAGACAGCTGTGGAAAGAGCATAGATTCAACCAATTGTGTGTTATCTCTTGACCTGAACTTTTCCTTTCTTAAATCCAAATGGGCCTTGAAATAACCAAAATAATTGTGGCCAAAGATCTTGCAGAATAAGTAATATTGAGGGATTCTTTCAAATTCAACCTTAAGGCAACAAATCACAAAAAGATGCGAGTATCCACACCTACATTTGAAGTGGAGAAGTAACGCCCATTTCTATCACGGACGTGACCACTAATGGCATTAAAAGACTGGTAATAGAAACATCAACTTGCAATTTTTTTTACCAAAAATACATCTCAAAGAGATAGAGTAAACTGATTAAAGTAAGGTGAACATTCTCCTTCAGATTACCAAATTCGAGACATTATTCTATATTTTAAAAGTTGTATATATATCGATAAGTCTTCTTTTCTAAAAAGTCAAATTCTCATTGAATATCATTCCACACCTCTTGCCGGACATCTAGGGAATCCTCAAAAATATTAAACAAATCTCTTCTAATTTTTATTGGCCTAGACTCCATAAAGATGTCACTGATTTCATTAATAATTGTCTTACTTGTCAACAAATTAAAACCTCTACCTTGCCTCCTACCAGTCTTTTAACTCCTTACCCATCCCATTACAAATTTGGGAAGATTTATTTCTAGGTTTCATTACCAGCCTACCTACATCAAAAGGGTACACCACCATTATAATAGTAATTAATCGTTTGTTCAAATATGCTCATTTTGATCCTTTACCTACTAATTATTCTGCTTCTCAAGTGGTCGAACATTTCACACATATCATTGTTACTTGTAAACTGAGGTCCTCAACCATTGTTTAGAACAATATCTTCATACATTTACATCCACTACTCCCCAATTATGATCTAAATTTTTTTGATGGGCTGAACTTTGTTATAATACATCCTTTCATATAGTTATTCAAATGACCCCTTTCCAGGCCCTATAAGGTCAATTACCTCCATCAATTCCACCATATATTCGTGGCACTTCTGACATTTATTCTATAGACACCTTATTAACAAATCATGACACTCTGTTACAATACTTCCGTCAGAATATGTCTCAAGCTCAAAATCACATGAAACTAAATGGTAAATCATCATAAAAGGGATTTGCAGTTCTCAATACGAAATCTACTATTGGTTAAACTACAACCCTTCATGCAAAACTTAATTGTCCGCATAACACATTCCAAATTAGCTAAATGATATTTTGGCCCTTTTCTAATTCAAGAGGTAATTAGCCCATGGCTTACCGCATAACCCTTCCTTTTAATAGCAAAATTCATCTAGTTTTTCACATTTTTCTTCTCAAACTACTTAAAGGAAAACCTCCACTGACTCCATCCACATTGTAAAATCTTACTTATAATGATCAACCACTACTTATTCCTTATGCCATTTTTAGCATCCCCCATTTTAAAGCTTTCTGGCCTACCACATCGTCAAGTCCTGTTGCAATGGAAATTAAACACAGTAGAAGATGCCACATGGAAAAAAATTTCAGCACTCGCTTCATCTTTTACTTCTCTCAACCTTCAGAACAAGGTTGTTTTTCATGGCGACGGGAGTGTTAAACATCAACACATTTCATTAGATCCGAATTTGGTAAAAGCAAATTGTGAAGCATGGGCTACCAACATGAAGGACCAACATACAATCATCAAAGTCTATCAAAGAAGAAGAAGATCTCCAAAATAAATCATGTATTGTAATATAATTGAGTGAGCTACAAAGGTGTAATAAAGCTTTACTTTATTTTGTTCTCTTGAGTATGGTAGACCAAATCTACCTATTTTTAATAAGGAATGTGTGAGGTAGACCAAACTTATTTTATAATCTTGGCATATCCAAGTAGTATAAATAGACCCTATTGTAAACAAACAAGCATGAATGAAATTTTATGGTTTCCTCTCTTCTTCTCTCTTCTCTTTTTCTCTTGGGAGTCTACACCTACTCTAAAATTGTCTCGCTTCTTGGCCTCCAAGAAGCATATCATAGTTCTTCTAAGTCATTCTAAAATTTTAATTTTAAACACATATCCAACCCTACTTGAGGAGCATAAATATCTATAATATTGAGAATATTAGCATCAACAATAATCTTTACAGCTATACTTTTATCTCCAATTCTATTAATTTCTACAATGTTATCATTCAAACTCTTATCTATAATCACACAACCCAATTCTAATACGGCTATGATGTAAGCAAAAAATTAGGAAGACCCTAATTTTGCAAGAATACTAAAAGAATTCTTAGGAAATAAGAAAATACACAAAATATTTCACTTAAAATGAAATACAATAACACTTTATATCATAAAAATGACACTTACAAACTTATATAATAAAAGTCCTAAACTTGCTTGCAATCATTGAGAAGAAAGATACATGTGGCAAGAAACTTGTGGAGAGAAGAAAGAGGTAAGAAGTCTGAGACGAAAGAGAGGACAAGCTCGCAAGCCTTCCCAAGAAGAGAAGAGGAATGGAACGAGCTCTCAAGCTTTTCCAACGAAAACCCTCAAGTTTTCATTTCCAAAAATCAGCCATAAACTCATTTTTATGCTTACAAAACATCACATACATATATATATATATATATATATATATAGGAGAAAAGGGGCAGCCAAGCAGCCCAAATTTCCTCCAATTAAACTAATCAAATCATGGGAAATAATAGGCCAAAAAGCTGCTAGATAATTTTGCCCCCCCCCCCCCTGCCTACATCAGATTCTTCCCCGGTTGAAAGAGCTCATCTCCTGATGAGGATGCTTTTGGTTTTTTCCAACGAGGCGAAGGAGGTGCATCTAATTCTCAAATTTTCGTCTAATATTTCTTTAGAATCATCTCTCATTCTTGCTTGAATTATTCTTGCAGAAGTTTCTTTTTCTTCACATAATTTTCCATACACATGCATTTTCATTTGAAGTTTGTATAACTCATTTTGAATTGGGTCGGTTGAATTTCCTTCTACGGAAACCATCTATCCACAGGAATTGGGACTTCAAGATCATCTGGATGATTTTCATCCACCATTGGTTCAATATTTTTGTCTTTTTCCATTTTTCTAAACACTTAAAAAAAAAGACAAACAACCTAGGAAAATCCTAACCTAGACTCTGATACCAAATTGATGTAAGCAAAAAATTAAGAAGACCCTAATTTTGCAAGGATACTAAAAGACTTCCTAGAAAATAAGAAAATACATAAAATACTCCACTTAAAATGAAATATAATACCACTTTATATCATAAAAATGACACTTACAAACTTATATAATAAAAGTCCTAAACTTGCTTGGAATCATTGAGAAGAAAGATACATGTGGCAAGGAACTTGTGGAGAGAAGAAAGAGGTAAGAAGTCTGAGACAAAAGAGAGAACTAGCCACGGGAAGGAGCCAGGCAGGAAAATCGAAGGGTCATAGGGGGGGGGGGAACCAAAGGGTCAGCAAAGATAGAAAAGGGGGGGGGATGAACCTAAAATCATCATTTATTACACATTAATGAGCTGATTTTAGTAGAGAACATAGCAGCTCACCAAAAACACAAGGCAAATAATTTTGCCCCCCCTTTGCCTACATCAGACTATTACCTGAATATCATAGTTTAAATCCTAAAATATCAATCTCCTTAACCTTCTATCGAACCCATTTAGCTTCCTAAATGTATAAAATATTTATCTTCCTATGAAATATAATATCTATAAATTCAATTAATTTATCTGTAAGAAAACTTATATTCAAAGTTCTTCTCCCAATTCACGGTTCTTTGCCCACATCCGTCCATAATGAGGGAACCTTTGCTTATTTAACGCTGCATCCGCCCTTGCACACTTCTCACTATATTCAGGCCATACTGCATGTAGCTTCTAGGGAATGTCCTAACATTAACACAATGTATTAAGAGATTATTGGTGTCAAAAAGCTTATTTCTACAGAATGACTGAGTGAAATTATAGTGTTATTTATCGCATCTGAATCAGTAATTCGCTAAATTTAGTTTGCAAACAGGACTAATTCTTTTATGACATTTGCACTTGAACCTAAATATTTCCAGCATTGCTAAATTTCCATTTTGGATGTTATACCCTCAAACTGGCTAAGAATTAATACATCTGCTGATAGATTTTATGAATACCCAAGAGAAACAACCCCATCTAAACATAGTGTCATTCTCCGCTTTGCTCAAAGCCTTGATAGGCCGATGGAACAATTTAAAAATTCTATTTTAAAACCTTACTAATCGAAAGCAGAAACGATAACAACAGGTTAACGGTGCATTAAAAACACCAGTCAGCTTTCATTCCTAGAATTGGATGTTACTAAATACAAATATATCTTGCGATAATACACGGCATATAGATCAGCAATTATAATAGAATACGTAAAAGAATTAAAGTTACAAAATCAGTGATAAAAAAGGCAAGGAAAAATAAATGATTTCATATGCTTAAACCTATCCGCGCTACTCTTGGTCTGTTGAATAGAAATATGAGAGTACTTTCTCCTAAAACTTAAGAGAATTGCGGCATTTGTTTCAGACTAGTAAGTAGGTAGGTGTGCAAAGTGATTTTAAAAATTCAATCCAAATTTAATTCATTCCCAAAACCCCATAATTCAACTCAAAGCTCATAATAACATTAGGAAATCTTGAACGTGTGTATAGAAAAAGCACTGCAAAAGTTATTAAGAAAAATATAATGATGAAAACATCAAATATTTAAAAAATCACTTTGCATACCTGTTCAAGCTCCAATTTTTCATCTCTCAAAGTCACATGAACAACTGGATAACCCTTTTGCTTTGTCCATGAATTCATCAACATCTTTACTGGTTCACCGGACCCTTCCTCAAGAACATCCCACAAGTCTTCGGTTTTTGCATTGGAAAAAGCATATCTTTTCACATATGAAGCCAATGATTTCTAAATGAAAAAGTAATATGTAAGTGAAATAGAATAACAGGTATCGCATAATGGAGCTCATTTCCAGTATATCAGCACTGTGAGGAAGACAATATAAAAAAGTAAGAAAGCTATCCAAAGCCTATCAAATGGTATGTATATTCTTGGTTCAGCATTCATCATCACGTTTGCACATGTTCAGGTTAGTATAGTTTAAGTAGAAGATACTTATATTCCAGTATTGAGAATAGCAAAAATGATTTATTAGTACAGCTGCCACTACTTCTTCAATAATGATTGTCCAAATAGCCTATAATGCTGCATTCATGTACATGTTGTAAAGATTGGAATAAACTCTGAGAGAGCCTATTCCGCCAATATTCCAAGTCCACAGAGAGCTCATTAAGAAAATTGAAATGTGATCCAGGATGGTATATGTAAATTATTGGACCATAAACTGTATCTATGCACGGGTTAGTGGCAGCTAACCATTACGGATGGTCAGATCAGAGCTGAACCATATGCCCCCCAAAACAGATTATGCATAAACTTAGAAGAAGTGATGCAGAAATAAAACATGGAACCATTTTTAGTTTAACTCAAAGGTGAAATCTTAGAATAACATCTATATTTTCAAGAAATTCAACATAACAAATAACAAAAAAAACTCTCAAATCAGTTCACGGAAAAATCCTAACCTGAAAACACTCAGCACCAAGGAAACATTGCAACATTCGTATAAGAGAGGCTCCTTTTAAGTAACTGATCGCATCAAAAATTTCATCAATCTCGTTAGCATGATTTATATCAACCTGCAGAGAAAGACTGTTATTATTACCACATGCTATTAAGTAGTTACATCACAAACACCTAAGTAATTGGAATTCTTCAGGTGTATTGCAAACAATATGAAAGACGGTTCATCAATTTATTGCCAATAGTTTGAATAATGGATTTAGGCATAAACAACTGTGATGTAGACAAGTTTGAACTATAAGTCTAAAAGAGAAGGTATACGGATTTAAGATTGTAAATGAATTTTCAAGATTCACTTGGGTTAAATTCTTATATCAGAAGAGTGAATCATTTGAGGAGTTTAGAGATTTTTTGACTTGGATTCAGAGAAAACTAGGATATGAGATTTTAATAATCTAAAGTGATCACGGCGGTGAATTTGAAAATGAAAAAAATTGAGAATTTTTGTAAAGAAAAAAGAATTGATAATAATTTTTTTGCACATAGAATCTCTTAGCAGAATGGGGTAGTCAAAAGGAAGAACAGAACATTAAAAGAAGCCGCTCGAGCCATGTTGGTAGAATATTCACTTCCTAAATATTTTTGGGCTGAAGCGGTCAAGAGGATATTTATGTTGAACAACCTCTAGGTTTTGAAAATTCAAAATACCCAAATCATGTTTTTAAATTAAAAAAGGCATTATATGGATTGAAACAGGCACCTAGGGCTTGGTATGAGAGGTTAAGCACTTTCCTACTTAAGATATCTTTTAAAAAAGAAAGTGTGGACACTACTCTATTTTAAAAAAATTAGAAGATGATATACTCTTTTTTTTTAAAGAAAAGCAGAATTTGCTCCATTAATAATAAAAAAAATTTATAACCTAAAAGTACTTGATTCCTCTTTAATCATGTTAATAAGAGAAGGAGGAATCTTATTCATGGATAGATCTGAAAGTTCGTTAGGGATATTAAGCCCTTATGAACTAGCCAAAGGTAACCAAGAGGAGGGGGGGGAGGTGAATTAGTATTTTAAAAAATCTTTCAATCAAAAACAAAATCTCAACCAAACAAAAATTCATCACAAAGAAATTTAACGTGCAGAAATTAAATACGAAAAAAGTAGTAGAAAAGAAACACATAAATTTATAGTGGTTCAGTCAACTCAATCTACATCCACTCCTTGGAGGCGCCCTCCGAGTATTGCACTAAACTCAATGACTCTCCTTTTTCTCCCATAGCAAGGCAGAGAAGCCTGTATAAAACCTCCTTTCCACCAACACCAGTGAGGCAAAGAACCCAACTCCTTTTGCTTCCTCCTGAAGCTGGCATAGAACCTTAATCGATTACTGAAGTGGACCTCTCTCAAACCTCTAAGAATAAGGGACGGTGATCGGAGAAGATGACTTGGATCTTTTCTTGGAGAAACCTTTGTGAAACGCCTCACAAATTGCCCCTCACAAGATCCTCTCTCTCTCTCGCTTTCTCTCCCTAATTTAATTTTGTTTATCATCTCATTTTCTATGAATTTATTATAGGTCATTATGGGTATTCATTGTGACACATAAATTTCATAGCATTTTCACTACATGCCTCATTTCATTTGCATGATTTACTTGAATTGTATGAGCATACTCGAAAAAAACTGATTGCTGTCTATGACAATTATAAGTTTTTTTGCAGATATGAATAAAGGTACAAAAATTTTAAACCTAGTTATAACTTAAAGGTATGTTTAAATAGAGAAAGGCTTAATTGGAAACCTATAAGAAATTAAATGTGAGACATGAACGATCATTCATAATGTGTTTGATTTGACCATATTTCTTGCTATCAACTTCAAGCACTCTTCTGTTTTTCATCTCTTCTTTATGCATTCGCATCTAATGCTCTGTTAGATAGTATTACATTTTTTTTTCCTAAAATTATTTTTAATTATGAGATTGTGTACGCTATTGGTGGTGGATTCCAGCAAGTGCACTGGCCATGCAAATATTAATTTGATGCTTCTAAATTATATTGCACAAAGTGCAAATTTCTGCCAAAACTATTATAAGAATATCAATGATCAAGTCGTCAGAGTCAATTATTGCAAAGCCAAGTAGACTGATGTGAACTTCCTAAAATGGTTTATAGTTTCTTGAGAACATAGATTTTTCTCATTGGTATAATCGCATGGGTTTTAATTTAATGTAACTCAGTTTTAGTTGTTTGTGGTTAGGAATTATCCATTGTTCATATAGCTTTAATGGTACTTATTGCTCAGAACTCTCATTAGCATGTGGTTCTTTTGCTTCGACATTGCTTAATCCTTGAAATTTTCATTTGGCTGTGGTTGTTTCAATTTAAAACCTATCCTTTTCCCTTCAAGCAGTGCTAGTATATGCCATGAATTTTCATCGTATACAACTTGCTATTTCAGTTCCTCTATATCTGCCGTTATTTGCTTTCATATCTATGGTTTGTTGGGCTTCTTGATATCTACAGTTCTCACTTTGCTGGAATTACTAGGCCTGCAGTTTGTTACCTTCTGCTGGATTTATGGAAATTGGATCCAGAATTGTGATTTTGATAAAGACGGACACAGTTTGTTGACCTTTGCTAGCATTGCGGGATTTGGAATTGAACCATGACTTGAGTGAGGCATTAATATTGCTCGGTTATGGAACTTATACCTGTAATCAAAACTTATATTTTCAATTTCTGTAACGGAACTAAGCTTATTTGATGTCAACAGATAATCAGAAAGTATTGAGAAAATATTTACGTTTCTAATCCCATAGAGTCTACTTGTGAAACACCCCACAGGCCTCCCAATAGCTATTGCTTGTGAAACCGCCCTACTACCAAATATAGGTGCAACCTCTGTTAATAATGAAAGCACCTCCTCGCCACCCCAAAGTCCTACACACTCACCCAACGCAACACGAACTCACCCTTTGTATAAGTTCAGCTCGCGTTACTAGTCAGTGTGCTAATTTAAGCTGAACCAACTAAACTAATACTCAGGGCCTCTTACAAAACTAAGAAATGATGCACAATCTAATTCTAGTTAAATTCAGGTTTCTTACACCAGAGTTGAGAATAGTAATGTCTTTATTTTTTAACAACAAAATTTGGCACGCTCAAAAGAGAACTTCACCTCAATAGGATGTGATTCCGCAAGAGCATCCAACCTAAGGCCTGAAACAGTATCATCAAGAAATTGTGTCCATATTTTCCATTCAGGAAACAAGGAATCTGCTGCTAAATAGCTAACCTGTAATTAAGAAATTAAACTCATTCAATATTTTCACAGGAGCGTCAACTAAAAAAAATCGCAAGAAAGTGAGCTCGGCTACCCATGTTGCAAATCCCTCATTAAGCCATAAATGAGTCCACCATTCCATGGTTACAAGATTACCAAACCACTGATGTGCCAATTCATGTCCAACAACAGTTGCCACCTGAAAATGCCATTCAGACAGCAGTTCATCAAAAAGAAGTGCAATGGCAATATGATATTCTATAGAGTGAGCTGTGTTTTTCTTAAACCAACTAATTAATCAAGAAAACCAGCAGTATTAATGGAAAACCAGCTATGCAATTGAGTACTGCAAATAACTAAACAAATATAGATTACCCTTTGTTTATTTGCAGCTGCTGAATGACGCTCATCATAGAGAAGAGCCGTTTCTCTATAAGTCACTAAGCCATAGTTCTCCATGGCACCAGCAGCAAAATCCGGAATGGCAATCATGTCAAGTTTAGGGAGTGGATAAGGAACAGCAAAGTACCTGGATTATGGCGATTAATCATCAACTGAAAGTAATTGGCGGAGAGGAAAGCAGGTGAGCGCATAGAACAATACCAATCAATGAGTACAAAAAACCTAAAACCAGCAGACAATTCGCAAGAAAAATTCTAATAGCCAGAGTACTGAGTACCAAATAAAGAACCTAATAACACACAACTGAAACAACATGAAAAAACAAAAAAAAAAGGATAATACAACATCAAATATGAAGTCTGAGCATTACTCTTTGTAAAGATCTAACGTTTTCACAGCTACGTCCAAAGCAAATTTTCCTTGGTTACTTTTACCGACTTGGCAGTAGACTCGAACATTAATCCCTGAATAAGATCCAATGAAACAGAAAAAAATTAAAACTTGCCACGTAAGCACAGGATAAGACGTCACATAATTTGCAATCATACTGACTTACCATCAGTTGTGGAGGCCTCTACAAAATCAAACAAACCCACAACAATAGCAACCAAATAAGTAGACATAATGGGAGATTCCTGGTAAAATAGCTTCTTCACATTCCCGTTTACTTCTTCCTTAGAAACTGGCATATTTGACAATGCTACATGATCAGAAGGTACTTCCAAAATTATCTTGAAAGCAGCCTGATTTAGGAGTAGAGAAATATGTATTAGAGCGCAGAATTTGAATTATTGAAAAAAAATATAAATCAAATGAAATCAACAGTAAAAATGTTAGGGTTGATTTGTTATGGAATACTCGAGCACTATCAGTGTTTTTAAAATTGGACTGGATTGGCCGGTTCAACCGTTGAACCGGCTGGGAAACTGATCCAGTAGAACATCAAAATAGTTTTAGCGTCGAACTGATAAAAAAATTGGATGAACCGCCGGTTCGGCCGATTTCACCGGCTGGGTTTAAATGAACTGTCCGGCTCGAAATGCTGAAGAAATTGCACCGTTGATTGCTAATCTAAGGGTCTAAATGATGAGGACATCGTCAGCATTTTTCAACACACGTATCTTTATGAGACGCCGGAGATCGACGGCCATGAGCATGAGTCGTATTTTGTCATTTTAAGTAGTAGTTTATTTTATTTTGATATTTTTCCGCTTTTGCCCTTATGGGCATTGAGCCGCTTACGTAGCCCGGAAGGGCATTTGTGTCATTTCTTGTTATTTCATTTTGGGCTATTTATATAAGGCCTCATGCATTGTAATTTCATGTTTGATGAAATGAAAATTTTATTTTGAATTCTCTTTGTGAGTTCCTCATCCCCGATCTCTTAGTGAGTTCGTCGGAGGAAATAGATCTCTTTGTGAGTTCTAAATTCTCGTCCCCTCATTCGTGGTGGAAATTCGAATTGACAGCAATTGAGGTTAGTGGATCCGTGGCTACTCAAGTCCCTAGAAACTCCCAATTCTTTTCCCTTTGCTCTTGCCACCGCCTACTCCAAGCAGGCCAAAGCCGCCGGCCCCTGGCTACAGCCTTCCGCCGGCCAGTCGCTCAACCACCCGCCGGCCCGCCTCCCACCGGCCTGTTTTCCGCCGGCCAGCCCCACAGCTCCATCCCGCTGCCTCCCCCTCTTGAATTCTCAGCATTTGAATTTCAAATCCCTTGAGTAATCACTTTCCTAATTGGTGCTCATTCATTAATCCAGCCCATTAATGAGATTAAAGCCAAATTCGAAATTCAAATTTGGCTTCCCTCTCATTTTAAAGTTTGGGAAGTTACTTAAGACATAATTAAATCTGAAATAAAAATTCATATTTAATTCAATTATCTACTTAAACTTGGGCCCCACCTCATCAAAACTGAAACCCCCCTCTCCTCTAGCTTGGCCGGCCAATCCTCTTTCTCTCTCCTAATCACCCTAATAGCTCAACAAAATCAGCCCAACTCCCTCCTCTCTTTGCCGCCCCCTCCCCTCCTTGGATTAATTTGAATTTCAAATTAAATCCCACAAAAACCTGCAAAATCTCAAATTAATTCAGAATTCCTACACCCCCCTCCTTTCCTCCCACCCGAATTCCTCCTTCCTCTTTTCCCTTTGGGTGTTTCGTGCCCTTCCGGCCAGGATGCATGGCAGAACCCGAATGGGACTTTGGATTTGTGCATGACGATCGAGATCAAGTTGACATCCTCCAATCACCGTTCTTTGACGTGGGCTTTGATTTCGACGACACCATTAAAGATTACATCGACCGTATCCATTACACCTTAGTGGATGTGATCGACGAGCAAAGATCAAAGGGACGTTGGATCATCCTTGGACGAACACCATCCTCCACCACTCCGGCCACCTATCCAAGAACGACGATCTTAGGCTCCTTCTTCCTCGGAGTGACCTCGGTTCTAATGTGGAGACTCTTTTTCCGCTAAAAGCCTAGACTAGTTGAGCGTATGGGCTCCAAAGGTGAGAGTTCTCATTATTAAATCGCGGATTCTTGTTTATCGTCGTAGTTTTACAATTGATCTTTGCATTTTCTTAAATTGTTTGGTTAACCGACTTCGCTCTTCTTTGCCTACGCAAGTTAAAAACCAAGAATTCTAAGGATCAACCATTGTTATAAGTAATAAATTTATTGTGGAAACACTGTTAATTTGCTATCTTTAAATTTCCTAAGTAACTCCGGATTGTTTCACATCATTAAAATTCTGATTTGTTCAAAGAACCGTGAATCATAAGCGCGTAAGCCGTAGTTTGATAATTTCCCTCCTAGGCCGCAACCATCTCTGTCTTTCTCACGTTCGCATAGCTTCCCTCAAAGTAACTAATGCACAAATTGCACGATCCTCTCTCTCTCTCTCACAATAAACTACTCCTATTGCTTTGTAAGATTTCTCATATCTCTCGTTGTAGGTTCCTGGAGAAGTGTGTTTTCCATTGGTTTTATCGGCTCTTGTTCTCTTGCTGCAAAAAAATGGAGCTTGGATATTGTTTGCCTTCTTTTCTTTTTCAAGTTTGTTAATCTTCATCAAGGACCCAAGTTAGCGATAGAAAGAGAAAGAAAGATCTGAAAGTTAGACGGTGAGGTTCCTTTCTTTCTCTCGGGAGATCAAGAGAAAAAACGCCAAAAAAATCCATTCTGATTAAAACTTTTCATCTGCTTTCATTCACTAGATGAAACTATCCCCAAGCTTTGCAAACTTGGGAGTGGGAGATGATAAAGACCAAAGACAAACGAATCAGATAAATAATACTATTTTCCCCAATTAGTAAACCAATCATTGCTCATTTCTATTTCTCACTTCTTTTATTCAAATATTTCATTCCATTGCCTCATTTTTTTCCCTTTTTGCCGCTTCCAAAGCCGGAAAACGCCAGCAAAGTATTGGTTCATGGAATTTCATAATTCATAAAATTCTCCAATAAGCCAAAAATTGAATATGATTTTGAACACATTCATTATTTTCTGTGATCTGCCCATAATTTGATTTGCACAACAGAATAAGCATGGTCTAATTAACTTATGGTTTCTATCCATCCTCCATGATAAAATTGTTTTACATATTACTATCCTCACATGATGCATTTGTCTCCCTGTATTACATACATATCATTTAATTGATATTCTTTTGTTCATTTCAATTTTAACAGTTTCATCTGCTAGAGAAAAAGAATTGAAGATTTCGTGAACAAATTAAATGTGAACTTACGAAGAACAAATCAGTTACTCAATACTTCATATCTTCAATTTACAAAAAAAGGGTATTCATTCATGTTTTATGCTTCATGATTATTTATTTTCTTCAATTTTTAATCATAGTTTTATATAATTACATCATTATTATACAAATTATGCTAATATTTAAATAAAATTAATATTTATTATATCATCCGGTTCAATCCCGGTCGAACCATCGAACTGTGAACCTCTCCTTCCGATTCATTATCCGATCTGATTTTCACAACGTTAAGCACTATAGTGATTAGTGCTAGTTAGAGCTTAACGTGATTGAACAGGTTAATTAATATTTAATTGCACTAAATAAATTAAGTATTATTTGATTGCGCAGATTTTGGACATTCAATAAGTTTTAAAATGACTAGAGTGGCCATGAATTAATTAATTAGAAGTTAAACTTGGTCTAATTAATTATTTCAAAAATTAGAACTGGTTTGACTTGAAGTAGATTTTTTTAGTTGGCTGCTTGGAAACATCAATTTCCCAAAGATTTAACCTTGATGCCACAACTTTATTATGTCGAAGTTCCCTTCGCACAGATTACCGGGGCTAATTACCCTTCTAATGTGGCAAAAAAATCTCAAATAAGTCTGACAGCTTTAATTGAGCAAACTTAATTCATATAGGAGTTACATGAATTTACTCTCCTTGCACTTTGCCATTCCATAAGTTCCATTTCAATATGTTGCAGTGTACTTGAGATGCAAAGATTTTAGATAGTTTTAAAACCAAATAGACAACAATCTAAAGAGTTAGGAAGCTTATGATTTGACTATCAAGTGAGCCATGAGGTTTCACATCCAATATAGTCCCCAACACACTTTGAGAGAAATTATGCGAATGTCATAATTACGTGGTGAAACATGCTCAGAGAGGGCATGATTGTCTCAAATCAGTTGAGTATTTTAAGGCATAGTGGATGTGAGGCTGTCCACTCCAAGGTATAACATGTGTAAAATCTGAGTTTGATATCACAATTGGATTAATTTAAAAATGCCTAAAATACCAACTTACACAAATCATCAAAAAGCATGTCATTGTGTTCTACTCGTCAACTGAAGCAATTTGATATATAAAAGTATATGTTAATTTGAGAGGAATTGAAAATTATGGAATTAGTTTTCATTTGAATTATTTAGCTATAGTTTTATTTATTTTCATTGGTCACTTATAAAAGTTAACACTGTCGTCGTCAGATCCCAAGTCTTGGATGAGAAAAGTAGAGAGAGTTGTGTTAGGTAGTCAACAGCCAGTGTAAAACTTGTCGAATAATCATGACATGAATCCTTTTAAAAATTGTGTTAGTGTTAAGGCGTCCCCTAGAAGCGACATGCTGTATGGCCTGAATACAACAAATGTGCAAGGGCTACTGCACCGGTGCCCGGGTGCAGTGTTAAATAGGCAAAGGTTCCCACATCAAGGACGGATGTGGACAAAGAAGCTAGTTCAGGAAACTAAAATTAGGATAATAACTTGGAATATAAATTCTCTTATAGGAAAATTACTGGAATTAATAATTATTATGATTCATAGGAAGATAAATATTATGTGTATTCAATGAACTAAATAGGTTGGAGAGAAGGGTAAGGAGATTGATAGTTTAGGATTTAAATTATGATATTTGGGTAGGAATCATACTATAAATGGTATATGTGTGATTATAGATAAGAGTTTGAAGAATAATATTATAAAAATTGATGTATTCAACTTAGAACAAAACTCAAAGAGAAAAACAAGTAAATCAAAACTCACTTTTATATAACTTTGAGAAACTTTTGGAGAACACAATAGACTAAATGAACCACTAAAATTCAGAATAGAAAAGTAGGGATCATCCAAAAAACCAAAGCAACAAGAAAAGTTTAGGGTTTAGGGCAAAACTCAATGAGAAAGTCAAGTAAATCAAACTCACTTTTATATAACTTTGAGAAACTTTTGGAGAACACAATAGACTA